TTTTAAAAGACAAAATATATGAAAAATGGTTAGATAGTAAATTTATTAAAATAACTTTTTTTTTTTTTTTTTATTATTATTATTCATTTTAGTAATCAACTAAACATGATGAGTGGTTAACAATATCAATGGGTCAGTGACCTAGCGGTATCAGACCTTTATTTTTCAAAGGAATATTAAGGATTCAAACCTTCATAGAAACATGTGTGTGTGAATATCAATTACGAAAAAAAAAAAAAAAAAAAAGTGGTTAACAATATATTTTCGTTCCTTTATTTTCTTATCTGTCTTAACTATTTCTTTTTCTTTCTCCATGTACCAAACACAACCTCAATGAGATTTGGACAACTAACTTTCAATCACTGTAGACGTGGAATTCAGTTGAGTTGAAATGGGTTAAGGGGTCAACTCAGACTTAACCCAAGGTATAAAGCTCTATTTAACTTTTTTTGATTTTTATGGCTTTCAAGGAAAGAAAATATGTATACAATTTAGAGAGCCTTTTGAGAGTTGTTTCTTCAGGCTCCGTTTGGTTAGTTAGTGTTGGAAGATTAAATCAAATGTTGAAAATATCAAGGATGGAATACATGAACTAACTCAAGTGTAGAATACATGAACTAACTCAAGTGGAATGCATGAACTAATTCATTGGGAGGTGAAAGATTTGTGTTAAAGTTAGTGTCTTATATTTGTCTTATATTTTATGTCTTTATAGAATTATGTGTTGATGCCTATATATTACATACATGTGCATGAATCCTATTCTTAAGTAGGAGTGTAAGAAGTGAAAAGAAATAATATATGAAAGTTTGAGGGTTAAAAAAGTTGTGTGTGTTCTTCTTCTTCAACTAAGTGCCTCCTATAGTTAGAACAGAAAAGAAAGAAAATGGAAAAAAAGAAGTTAAGTGAATGAAAAAAGTGATTTTCTAACATGCATTTGGTTAACAAGAATTTTTTTCTAATAAAGTTGGAAAAAAAAACATCATTTTATAGTTTGGATAAAAAGAAAGTCAGTAGAAAATATTTGTACTTATCTATAAAACATCATTATAATAATTTTTTTTTTAATATCTAAATAACGTCCATGATTAAAAATGTATACAAGTTTGAGAAATTTTATATTTCAAAAATGTTGTAAATTAGTGAATGAATTTGACTATAATGCTATCAATAACTAAAAAAATTAATCAATAATAATACATATAAAAAAAGATGAGACTTTTTAAGTTATGCAGACCCAACATATAACTATTTATTTGATTTCCATATCTAATGGAAAACAATCCATGGGAAAAAAGCAGTCCTTCTTGGTGTGCAGTTCTTTCAAACCTAATAAAAAAGAATGAAGTTGTTGGGTAAAATAGGTTGTAGCCCTTTTCACGAGACAATTTTATTTTCACTTGTTACGTGTAAGAAACATTTTGGGGAAAAATAGTTAGTTGCGAAAATCTTACATTCTTAAAAAATTTACTCTTCATGTTGACCAAACTCCTAACAAATTTGTGTTATTTTTTATGTTTCTTTTCTTTTCTAGCTACTTTACACTAACCAAACGAACCCTCAGAGAATCAATTATCTGGTTTTCCTGAATTTATTTTTGAGTGCATACACACTTAAAGCTCAAGTGATTTAGGATGGCGTTCTGTCTCTCATTGGAGTTCAAACATATTGAAGATCCAATTGTTTTTGTTCAGAAAAGTAGGGTTTTTTCTTACGTACATTTTCAAATTCAAATTTGAAGGAGGATTTGATCATGCTACGAAGGGGATAGATCATATGCAAAGTGTTCGTGTTCTACCAACAACCCTTGTACAAAGATTGGAGAGTAAACTTAAAGTTGAGAGCATTTGTACGGGGAGTCGCAAAGCTAGGTGTTCAATAACTAATTCTTGGTGGAGTGAGTGTGAGTCTGAATCAAAGTCTGCTGTATTTTGTTTCAAGATGGTAGATCATTTCGCTCGAGAATACGAAAGTTTGTGTGGTTTTCATTCTGGTTGGTTGGAATTCTTCCATTTCACCCAATAATCCCGACGTCTTTCTAAACTTTAGTTTATTTACTTGCTTTTAGTTTTCAATTATAATTTTAATTGTGCGAGTAAAATCAAAATTTGGATAAAGGAGCAAGTCACACTTATTCACTCCCTCTAGGTATTTTAAATTGATATTTCATTATCATTCTGCATAGTGCAACTTGCATAAGTTACACATTTACTTTCACGTGACATGCTTTTTCTCTTGTATTGTTAATTTAATCGACCTAAATTTCAACTTAATCAAAATTGTTCATTATGTTTTAATAACAATGGTACCCCTCTCTCTCTCTCTCTCTCTCTCTCTCTATATATATATATATATATATATATATATATATATATATATAAACTTCAAGCAAACTTACACATAAACCCACAATATTCTCTCTCTCTCTCTATATATATATATAAACTTCAAGCAAACTTACACATAAACCCACAATATTACTTCCACTAGGGCTAAAAAAATGAATCTTTTATTTATGCTATGTTAGGTAGGAAAAAAAAAAAAATGGATGGAAGGGAGAGAAGGAGGTATAGATGAGACATTCATAAGGAAGTGATTGTGTATTTCTTTCTTTTTTGGTTGAATAGAATAGAAGAGAATAAATTCATAATTTACTATATTTGTTAAGAAATCTTACACACAAACCCACAATATTACTTCCACTTGGGCTAAAGAAATGAATCTTTTATTTATGCTATGTTTGGTAGGAAAGAAAAAAATTTGATGGAAGGAAGAGAAGAAGGGATGGATGAGACATTCATAGGGAAGTAATTGTGTATTTCCTTCTTCTTTTTTGGTTGAATAGAATAGAAGAGAGTAAACTCATAATTTATTATATTTGTTAATAGAAAAGAAAAGAGAGTTTTATAATAGTCCATTTGTCTTTTTTCCTTTCTTCTACTCATTTTTGAACGGATGAAAATTTGTAAATGAATAAGGATGAGTTATATTTCTTATTCTCCTTTCTTTCCTTGAATCATCTCTACTGAACAAAAGAAGTTCGTTCATTCATTCTTATTTGTTCTCCACACATCTCCCTTACTTCCTGCCGAACATAGTATTAAAGATAGAGGAAAGATTATCACACCTGAACTAATGTCCTATTGGTACCTATATACTAGTGCATATGTTGAATGACAAGTCATTTTATAGAGATGGATAAAGAACAACCCACAATTAGTTAAATAACAGAAAAGAAAGGAAACTTAGGTTCCGTTTGTTCGGACGTAAAATATTTTCTAAACAAAACATTTTCATGTAAAATGTTCTTTATATTTTTTATTTTTCGGTGTTTGGTGTAAAATATTTTCTAGATTAGTTATTAATTATCTCTTTCTCTCGTATTCCTCATCAACGGGGAATAGTACCCACAATTAAAATTCTCTCTCTCTTTTTTCAGTATTCCGCACCAATAGGGAATAATGCCCCCTAAACCTTCCTCCCCTCTCCTCGTTATTCTCTCTATCTCTCTGTATGCTAAACCATCCCAATCTCCTTCTTGTTACTTTCTCTCTCCACCCTCTCTCTATACCAAAACATGCTCTCGACCAAAATCTATTCCTCGACCAAACCAAATTTGGGTCCTCTAACTCTATGTATGCATATAGAGACATAAGACTGCATATTTGATTTTTAGATTGATAGGAATATTAGTTGTTAGAGGGACATAGGGGTTCAATAAAAATATGAACGGTTAGACGACTTAAGGTAATTTATGCAAAATAACTTACAAAAACTTTTTTGGTAAATCACTTTGAGTCATTTGGAGGAAAAATGATTTACATAGAAAAAAAGTTTCTAATATTGGAGTCTCCCAAACACCAAAAAAATAAAAAAACCAATTTCTAATAAATAGGAGCCTTAGAGAAAATCATGTTGCAAGGATGGGTGAGACGAATCAAAGAAAAATTCATTGTCATATGGTTCATAGAAGAAACAAAGTCATATTTAAGTTCTAACATTGTAGTTAAAAAAAGCATCCTTTAGATGGCTAAGTTGGGCAATTCAGATTCAAACTAATACCTAAAGTATGAGTTTTTTAAGATCTAACTAAATTGATATAATAATTGTAGCACGAGGTCAAGATGGCCGAGTTGGTCTAAGGCGCCAGTTTCAGGTACTGGTCCGAAAGGGCATGGGTTCGAATCCCATTCTTGACATATTTTTATTTATGTTTTAAAATTATAAAGAAATATTAGTAAAAAGAGCTTGACCTTTACACATTTCTTATTTTTATTTTTAAAATTTTAAAAAAATTTAAAACATAATAAGTAAAAAAGAGTTTGACCTTTACACATTCAATATACAACACAGTAAACATATAAAGTAACTCATATATATATATATATATATATATATATAAAAGAAAGAGTAGAATTAATAAAGAGGAATGAAAGCTTTTCTCAAAAATGTCCAAGTCGTTAATGCTTTTGGTGGTTGATTTCATTATCATAAAACAGCTCCAAAATTGGCTTGGTCTCAAGATATAGAATCAATGTTGAATCACCATTTAGCGGGGATACTTGGACTTGGGTTTCTTTTTTGGGGGCGGGGCATTAAGTATAGGTATCTTTGCCAATTAATCAATTTCTAAACGGCAGCGTAGATCTCAATTAAAGAGATACCACTTACTCATGAATTTATCTTAAATTGGGATCGTTTGGCTCAGTTTTATTCCTGTTTTGCTGAGGGAGCAACTCCATTTTTCACGTTGTTGTCAATATATGCAGAATTTTTTACTTTTTCTTGGAAGATTAGATCCATTAACTGGGGGTTTATGGGGACAGATATTGCACATTATTTATTTTTTTCTTTAAAAATACCCATAGCAGAGATATATATACACACACACACACACATTTAATTTCCTCAGAGGAAAGTCAAACATTTGTACCCTAAGGCACCCAAATGGGATGTTAACAAACATTTTTCTAACAATTAAGTTATACGTTTTGGAAATAAATATGATCCATATTGAACTCATTAAGCAGCAATCCAAATTCCAATATAAAATCAAGTACATAAAAGGAAAATTGTCTTCCCAAACACCACCTAAAGCCTGGAGTACTGGCGTGATCGAGTATATAACACACACACACACACACACACACACATATATATCTCAGACACATTAGTTAATAAATGTATACAAATTGCATTGACTCAGCAGGTCTCACAAAATTTATATGGAAGCATGAATATCCATTTCAATATTACAATCACATAATTTCTTTGCAATTGATTCAACTATGACTTGATACACTTCCTTTATCAGCCCCTCCAATTAGGCCCTCTCTTCTCAACTTCTCTTCCTTCGCTTTCCTGCAGAATATCACCCAAGCATTCACTTCCAATGCTATACAAACACCAATCAATGTGGACAGTCCCAAACAGTATCCCAACTTCGCATAGGACCTGCCCTCTCCCATCACCTCAAACCCTTGAAAACAGTTCACAACCCCTAGCACCACACAAGCATACCCTACAAAATGGTGGTATGACTTCCAATACTTCCTGAACTTGTTTGTAGTTTTTGGCCTAAACAACAGTGCCAAAGTCTGAAGACTCCCCAAGCAAAATGCAGCGAACCCGAGCTTTCGATGCAGCCCATAAACCCTTCCCGGTGACAGTTCCCCGAGGCGGATACCAATGGCAAACCCTACTGTTCCTAGGAAGAAGGCGAAAAGTTGGGTGATTGCGTGAGAATAAAACCATGCAGGCCCTAGTGATTGTATGTGCCGGAGATAGCGCGCTGTGGCAGCTCCAATGGGGAGGAGAATTCCCCATGAGATGGCGTTGATGACACCGTGCGCGGTTTTTAGGGTTTTGATGTTGTCCGGTCCGGAAGATGCTGTAGCGGAGAGAACATTGATGGTGGCAGCAGAGGAAAGATCGTTGATTGTTGTTGGATGGATGGTCGGGGAGTAACCTTGGACATATAGGCCACGGTTCCACACGACGTGGATTTTGGTCTTGTTTGGTACAAGTTTTATGGTGGCATAGATTTGGATAGCGGCGCCATTGTGAACGGTGGCCATCCGACCACCATATAGGGTGGCGGAGGAAGAGAGCAGGTGGATGTCGAGGGGGCGAGAAAGGAGTGCACTTCTTTGGAGCTTCACAGTGGGGTCTAGAATGTATGGTAGTAAGACTAGTTGGCCGGAATTGGGGTCCGGGAAGGCTATTAGGGCACGCGTTCCGGTCATTTCAGCTGAGGTAGGGTTAATGCCCCAAGCAACCCAGCCGGAAGGCGATATGAAAGTGCCAAAGAAGACCATATCAAGGGTGGCATTATGAGGATGGAAAGTCCAGGCAATGGAGGCTTGTTGGCTAGGCAGTGTCATGCATTTCTGGAAGGTTTTTGTGGCGGTGGTGGTGGTGCAATGAGCGGAAACCGCCCTCTGTGGGTGGAAGGAAAGAGAGAGGATGAGAAAGAAGAGAAGCATGGTGGTTGAAGAAGAAGGGAACAAACTACAGAGGCTTTGAAAGAGAGGAAAAGCTTTTGTTAACATATATGTGTTTTGTATTGACGTGGTAGGGATCGGATAATGAAGTCATGCAAGTCATCATGAGTGGTCACTACATGAATAATGAGTAGTGATGTGGGTGTGCTTAACTTTGAAGGTAAGGTAATGGTATATACAGTTAATTGGTTTGGTGGATGTGTTGAAATAAAGCATTGGGTTTTGATGGTTTTCGAGTAAAGTCCTGTGCATAATAATAGTTGTAGTATGCATCTCTAGTGTTTGGTAGACTAGTTGTAACTCAAATTTCAATTTCTATATATATGGATTTTAAGTGGAAAGTGTTATGTTATTGAAGTCAAGAATAGGAATTATTGGATTCTCCTTGACTCTAAAGATAAGAGTAAATGAAAACAACAGTGCTTCTGGAAGGGAGTGACTATTTTATTTATTTATTATTTATTACTATTGTTTAATTTTTTTAATGAATTTTATAATCACATCTCAGATGAATGTTATTGATATACATACATATGTAATAGTCCCCCTTAATATCTATATGCATATATATATATATATATATATACATATACACACACATCACCTACAATGGACATAATTAGTGTCTTCAATTATTTTGAAAGAAACAATCATCACAGGTAGCCACCTTTGCGTATATTTTTATTTATTTATTTATTTTTTCCTATTGATTCACGACATACGTTTGGGTAAAGATAAGGGTAAATTGTATTTAACCCCTTGATTTATGGTGTTCTGTATATATATATATATATATACACACACATCACCTACAATGGACATAATTAGTGTCTTTAATTATTTTGAAAGAAACAATCATCACAGGTAGCCCACCTTTGTTTTTTTTTTTTTCATTTATTATTTTTATTTTTATTTTTTATTGATTCACGACATACGTTTGGGTAAAGATAAGGGTAAATTGTATTTAACCCCTTGATTTATGGTGTTCTGCAATAAATCCCCTTTCAAAATTTTTTTTTTTTTGGGCCAAACAACCTCCTAAACTAATCAAGGGGGTTATTTTTTTTGACTTATTGCCAAAATACCCCTACCAAGTTAAGGGAGTTTTATGTAATTCGCTGTGAATTTAGGTTAAAATATATATATATTTTCGTTCTTGAATAATATTTGAACTTATACTTTATGTTACATGTAACACTATACTTTTAAGAGTAAAGTGTAAGAAAACCTCTTGAACTATGTTCGAATTTGCAAATAACTTCCTTGAAATTTATTTTGTGCATAATACCTTTTGAACTATCACAAAATACCTAAATCCTTGACTATTTTTCATTAAATGACTATAATACCATTTCATATTGAATTACACTTAATCTATTTTTTTTTATTGAAATAAATTATAAAAAAGAGATCATACTAATTTGATGACATATTCTCCATTAAATTTGTATAAATTTATCTTCAATTTTTTAAATTAAATTCAAGTAGAAAATTATAAAGCAATTTAATTAATTTCTTAATTTTTCATGAATATATTACATAAAAAAAAGAAGTTATTTTTTATTTAGGTTATTTATTAATTTTTCATGAATATATTGTATGAAAAAAAGTTATTTTTTTATGGTAAAGAAGTTTAAACTGCGTATAATAAATTTTATTGTAAATAGTAAACTTTTAATAATACCTTAATCATTTTAGAAAATAGTACGTAATTGCAAATCTATTTTTTTTTTTTTCCATTTTATGATAAATTGATACTAATACTAAAATTAAGGTAAATGTTATAATTAATATTTAGATAAGAAAAAAGATAATAACAATAACTTAATAGGGAATGACAAATTTAATGGGGTATGTTAAAATAGTCTTTTGTGATGAGTTTGTTTTCAATTACAACAAATCAATAGTTCAAGGGAAAATTTGTAATTTAGGAGGGTTATTTGCAAAAGGACAATAGTTAATTTTCGCATTTTATATACCCTACTCTTAATTAAAGAAAAGCATAAAAAATAATAATAATAAAATTCATAATTATGAATGCAACTACATATAATTAAGTTCAAATTTTATATGTTTACTCATATTATATATACCATTATTAAATTATTTATATTATATTTTCTATTTCATACAATGCGTGTGTGTGCATGTGCGTGTGTGTGTGCGCGCGTGCATGTGTGAAGGACACCTGATCAAACAATTAGATAGACAAAAATAAATTTTCATTATAAAAAGTAATTGAATGAAATAAAATAGTAAGTTTTTCTCTCATTTTATTTGGTTGAATAGAAAAAATAAACAAAGAGAGAGAATATTATAGGATTTAACTATGCTAGGCATGCGTGCATATGCTAAAGAGACAACATGTAGTTACACTTATAACTATTTATTTTATTTTATTTATACTTTTATTTTTATGTTTTTCTTTTGTTGATGTCAAAAATCTACACGCTCCGGAGCCCGTGACAATTCCTGCAAGACAAGAGAAGTGATGACCGGCGGGGTGCCGGCCGGGTGCACTCCGACGGTCAAGTTAGTACTCGACGAATAAATATCCGATAAGGATTATATATGAAATTTATGGTGTACCTTTTTAGGTTGAATGATCATTTCTTTTATAGAAGCATTAATGGTAGTAGTTGTTAAAGCGAGATTCTCCCTGATCCAAGATGATATCGTTCCCTTCTTACAGGAAGGGTAACTCTGGTTACATTGGTAACCAGATATTTTTTATGATTCCATAGAGATTTTGGGTAAGATAAATTCCTTACTCTTATCTTATTTCTCTTTTGACTTTGAGTTGCCTATTATTTTTATCCTTATCAGTTGCCCCCCATTCTCGTGCTTGCTTGTCAAGCATCGAGAATGTCAAAGTGTTTTAATTTTTTTAGTGACATCTCTTTGGCATAAATCAATCTCTTTTTTGGTTAACCCTTGTTGGGCGACCTTTTTTTGGTTGATCTCTTAAGATTTGTTCGAACTTTATGAGCTGGGGGAGTAAGCTTTCTTAAGCTGAATGAGTTTACCTTTTAAAAAAGGGAAGTATATTTACGAGTTTTACTCAGCTCGCCACTTAAAAAGGAAAATATATTTTACGAGTTTCACAAAAACTCAGCTCGTCCTCTAAAAAGGGATTACGAGCTTCATTTAGCTCGGGCCTTTATAGTACGGGGCACTTTTATATCAATCCCTTATAATACGGGGATGGTAATTACGAGCTTCATTTAACTCGCCCTTTAAAAAAGAAAATATATTTTACGAGTTTTACTCAGCTCGCCCTTTAAAAAGGGAAGTATATGTTACAAATTGATTTCGACCCCTTTTAATACGGAGGACAACAATTACAAGCTTCATTCAGCTCGGGCCTTTATAGTACGGGGCACTTTTATATTAATCCCTTATAATACGGGGATGACAATAAGGAGCTTCATTCAACTAGCCCTTTAAAAAAGGAGTAGGTTCTCCAAGCTTCATGAACTTATCCTTTTAATATGGGAGGTTCATCCTCGTGAGTTTTGTCATCTCATCTTTTTAATATAAGAGACTAATTTTCGATAGTTGCGTGGGCTCATCTATTTGATAAGGAAGATTGATTTTCCAGAGCTTTGTGAGGTTAATTTTCTGCCCCCATTCCCAAGCTTGCCTCTCACGCGCAAGGAACACTAATGTTTTCTTGCTATTTGCAAAGTTAGCAAAGCAAAAATAAAAGAATAGATGTACAGTTTGAACGAATAATATATATACATATTTATATATATTAGAATTGGTACAATTAAGGCAAAAACTTATCATTGAGTATCATAGGACCAAAATTATCAATGGAGCTAGCGATTGTTCTCTAGAATAAGATTTTTTTTTTTTTTTTTTAAAACCCTGTGAACAGTACCCGCGGGTACTATTCATGTGAATAGTACTCACAAAATAATATAAATATATATATTTTTAAACCCTGTGAATAGTACCCACAAAGCGTAGTATTCTATCGAAGGGTCCCCAAGTGAATTACATCATTATGTAAGTGAATAATATTTTGCAGACAATTGGAAACACATAAAAAATTGTTTCTCTTTAAATCATGTGAGGAAGTGTAGACATATATTTTGATATACGCGTAATGCATGAAACTCACCCGGTTAACAGCGATGATGAAACAACTGTTAGCGGTCGGGTGGGGCTTTCCAGCAATTTTACCGGATTGAGCAACTGTACCCTTGCTTTTGGCCACGCAATCCATGAACTATTCTCTTTCTTTTAGAGAAAGCCAGATTGTAAAGGGACTGAATTGCTTTTAAGTTTTGTCGTAGATTTCCCTTGGTCGAACCATGATTTGTTGGGACTAATATACGTTCCCACAGACGGCGCCAACTGTTGATGCCAAAAATCTACACGCTCCGGAGCCCGTGATGATTCTTACAAGATAAGAGAAGTGATGACCGGCGTGGTGCCAGCCGGGTGCACTCCGACGGTCAAGTTAGTACTCGACGATTAAATATCCGATAAGGATTACATATGAAATTTATGGCGTACCTTTTTAGGTTGAATGATCATTTCTTTTATAGAAGCATTAATGGTAGTAGTTGTTGAAGCGAGATTCTCCCTGATCTAAGATGATATCGTTCCCTTCTTACAGGAATGGTAACTCTGGTTACATATGGTAACCAGATATTTTTTATGATTCCATAGATATTTTGGGTAAGATAAATCCCTTACCCTTATCTTATTTCTCTTTTGACTTTGAGTTGCCTATTATTTTTATCCTTATCATCTTTAATTATAAGTATGGTGCTACTTTTAATAGAAAATATAAATTCAAATATCATTATTCAACAAATTAAGAAAAAAAAAATATTTTAACTAAATTCATACAATTGATCGAATTGCAAAAACACTCTCATGACTTTTGGTGGGGGTATTTTAGTAAAGTACGTAACCCCACTTGGTTAGTTCAGTGAGTCTTTTGATAAAAATAAATAAATAAAATAAACTTTTAAAAGAGTTTACTGCAAAACATTATAAGTCAAGGGGAATAAATGCAATTTACCCTAAAGATATTATAAGTTGGTAGATATATATCA